GACAGAAACGGCAGCTTCAGGGTTAAAAAAAGATAGAAAGATAGGAAACAGTCCACAATCTGACAGAAACGGCAGCTTCAGGGTTAAAAAAAGATAGAAAGATAGGAAACAGTGCACAATTTGACAGAAACAGCAGCAGCTTTAGAAGAAAACAAACAAATGATAAAAAATTTACCTTGAGAGAAGCAGGAGATTTAGGAGGGTAAAAACAAATAGAAAGAAAGATGGGAGAGTTGACAATTTTAGATAAGCTGCAGTTTCAGGAAGAAAAAAACAGAAAGAAAGATGGGAAATAGTCCACAACTGCAGAAGTAGCAGCTTAAGGAAAAAAAGAAAATAATTAGAAAGAAAATAAGGAAAGTCCACAACTTTATAAAAGAGAAATATTGTAAGTTTTTACACAACATAAACATCAGTCCAACTAAAAATCACCTAATGTGGACTTTACACAAATAATCATTGACTAAAACTACTAAAGTAGTATTTTCTTTATTTCAGAATAAATTAGTCAATATCAAAATGAACCATAAGTTCATTATCTGAAATATTTTTTTTTATTGTAAAAACACAAAAAAATATTTATTTCTGCATTAAATTCAAATGTCCTTAACTTATAAAAAGGATAACCGAGTAACAAAAAAAAAATACCCCAAAATTTACCTTTGTGGGTTTTCCATTTTCTGACGAAAATACCTTATCACATAATCGAAGTCCACATTCCTGACGTAGTTGTAGTATATATTGACGCATTGTATCTACAAATTTGAAATTTACAACATGATTTAGTTACGTTTTATATACACAGTATTACTTCTTAATCAAAATATCTAGTATTGTATCAATAAAACAAAATATTCACTTGTGTAACATTTAAGTTCTTTCACATCTTAATATTGAAAAACTTATTTCATTGGTAGCAACTGGGTATTGCATGGTGTTTCCATAACAATACCGAACTTTTCTGTACTCTTTTTCAGTAACAAAATTATTTACATTTTGTTGTATTGCGAAAACAGTGTGTCTACAAAAAATACGTTAACATCACTGGTCCATTGTTGAAGTTTTCAGATTGATCTGCTACTGTTTCTCTCATGAGATTTTGCCTTCAAAAGCTGGAGATTAACCAAACACACACACACAAACTTCTTTCCTACATAGGAATTTTAGAACTATAAATGAATGTACTCAGTGTTTGAAGTAAAGTAAAAGAAAAACATTGGATGGTTTATAAAATTTTTGAAGCTGAGTACAATATTTCTTGTTTTAAGTGTGTATTATTTATTTATCATCATACAAGTAACTAAAATATAAAAATTAGAAACTTATTAGTTTGGATTAAGTAAGATAATGAAAAAATAATAATAAAAATTCTTTACGAGGCATCCTCATGAGCATCTTTTGCATTATGTACTTTTATATAATAATGTGAGTTGCATGTTCACCGAGTGATTTACAACTTGTGTGGTGGGATAATTAGTTAGACATGGTTCAAAGGGTTGGTTTGATTGTCTGGTGTTTTTTTGGCACAAAGCAACTAGGCTATTTGCACCAAACAACCAGTAAAAAAAAACAGTGAAAGTAAAATTGTTGTAAAATGTAAAAATATATTGAATTAAAACTAAAATACATCCAAAATTCAGACAAAAGATTTAAATACAATTAAAAAGGTCAACTGTTCTTAAAAAATTAAAACTACAATCAAGTTGGACAGTGTCACCATCTCCAATGACACTGTCCAACATCGGGGTTAAACCCGTAGAAAAGATATGTCTAAAATGGTGCCACTGCTCACGGTCATAATGACGGCACGATAGTAAAATATGGGCTATTTTGACTTGAGTGTCACAAAGGCTATACATTGGTGGGTCAATACCAGATAAAAGAAAACAATGAGTTAAAAAACTGTGACCTTATGGAAGCAAGACAGCCAAAAAGCACCAGAAGGTTTGACCTGGAAAAGCTTGTTATGACATTGCTCACCCCAAGTCGACTGCCAACTGGTACCAAGTCACACCTTGAATACAGGACCATAGTCCATGTATGGGACAGGCATGGCTATGACAGTGCCAGAGCAGATGGACATAGCTGCGGTGTCAGCGAGCTTGTTCCCATGAATACCAACGTGGCCAGGTATCCAGAAAAACTGGATGGAAATAAAAGACAGAGAAAAATGAGCCAGTCGTTGTTGAGTATTGACGAGAACTAACATTAAGCAATTCCAGGGTCAGTATAGAGCTAAGAGAATCAATGTAAATACTACAATTGCTGTACTGCATAGCTTCTGCATGATTCAGGCCAAGAAAAATGGCATACAACTCAGCAGTGAACACGGAAATTGTAGAAGGATCCTGCAAGCAACTACCAAGTTACAGCAAATCATGGCCGAGCCTACAGAGTCACCCGATTTCGGACCATCTGTGTAAATGTGAATAGAAGGATGGTTCGAAAGATGTTCAGCAAAGAGAAGATGATACTTCCAATCGGGAGTATCCGCCTTCCTCAGATGACTCAAGGAAAGGTCATAGTTGGGGATAGTAATAAGCCATGGTGGAATGGGCTGATAATTGATGACAGCAAAGTCATCCAATGCCAGACCCAATTCAGCCAGTTGTGGCTGGATACGAAGGCCAAATGGAGGAATTGCAGACAGTTTGTTCTGAAAGAGTACGGCCCACCGAGGAAGAAAGACACAATTCCAGGGATGCTGTAGTAAGGATCGAAGCTTGGTAACATACTGTAGAGAAAGTTGCAAATGACGGAGGTGCAGACGTGGGACCCAGTATGCAAACTCTGGACTGGAGAAGTGCAGAAAACTTCCATGCAGAGCCGAAGCCCCAGATGGTGTACAGGGTCCAACATCTTCAGAGGGCCTGGCAGAACCATAGACCTATAGTACAGTTTGGATCAAATCAGGGTTTGATAGATATTGACCACAGAGCATCGATCCGCTCCCTAAGAGGTGGAAGAGAGGACACGGAAGATGTTCAGTGCCCTCATACACTTGAAACATAGCTTCTTGATGTGTGTAATGAAAGTAAGCTTATGGTCAAAGATAAACCCCAAGAACTTTGTCTCAGGAACCATGGGAAGAACAACATCTCCAAGACAGAGCTCTGAATTAAGGTGTAGAGCCCATTAATCGCAAAAATGCATGCAAACGGCTTTGGAAAAAGTAAATATAAAACCATTTGCTGTGGTCCACTTCAACAAGCGATTGAGGGCAGTCTGAAGCTGCCGCTCAATAAACCTCATGTTCAACTACCGACATGAGATGTGGAAGTCGTTGAAATAAAGCCTGTTTGCAATAGTAGGAGAAAGTTGCATAGAGATAAAACATTAATCTTGATACTAAAAAGTATGACACATAAGACACAATCCTAAGGGACTCTAAGTTCCTGTGGAAATGAATGGGAAAGAGTCAAACCTACACGGACTTGGAATCTCCTGTCCAGTAAAAAGTTCTGGGTAAAAATGGGTAAACAAACACGCAACCCATATGAATGGAGGTCCCGCAAAATGCCATACCTCCACGTACTGTCGTAAGCGTTCTCAAGGTCAAAGAACATGGAAACAAGATGTTCGCTCTTGAAAAAGGCATCCCTGATCAATGTATCAAGTCGAATCAGATGGTCCATGGTGGGTTGGCGAGAGGAGGTTGTTTGATTCGAGGAACTAAACAAGATGAGCATTAACCATCCTCTCCAAGTTCTTATAGAGACAGCTAGTCAAAGCAATTGGATGATAATTAGAAGGAATCTAAGGATCCTTCCTAGGTTTAGAGAAAGGGAGGACAATAGCCTGGCACCAAGCATCAGGAAAACATTCTCCTGCCAAATCCTGTTAAAAACAACCAGAAAAATGGCAAGAGAAGCAGGAGAGAGATGGTGCAGCATCTTATACTGAACTTCATCACGTCTAACCGATGTATTGTCACACCGACAAAGAGCAAGTTTGAGTTTCACCAGTGTAAAGGGGCAATTATAGTCATAGAGAAGATCAGCCCAAAAGGAAAGAGGCATTTGCTCTGCCCGAGACTTGATGGCCAAGAAAGTGGGGGATGCACGAAAAAAGCATTCACCGAGAGTATTGGCGATGCCCTGTACATCAGCAACTTCCTGGCCATTGGAGAGCAAGATTGAAAGGTGATGGGAGGCATAACACCCATTGACCTTCTGAATATTGTCCCATATCACATTGGAACTGGTGGTAGAAGAGATGCTAGTTGTAAACTTAATCCAAGATTCCTTTTAGCTTTGACATCTGACCTGTCGAGCATGGGCACGGGCACACTGGAAAGCAATATGGTTTGAAAGAGTGGGATACTTGCGAAAGGTATCCCAGGCCCGTTTTTTTTTAGCCTTCCGTACCTCCTGGCAGGCAAAACTCCACCATGGATGAAGATATCATGGAAAACATGTCAAGGTCTTAGGAATAGAGTGAGCAGCTGTCTGGACTATACAGTCAGTCACGGCTACCATGCAGTCCTCGATTGATAACAGGATCAAGTTTTGAGAGAGTAGTGAAAGAGGGCCAGTTCGCTTGGTCCAACTTCCATCGTGACACTCAGGTGTTGGGTGGCATCGACCACGGCCAATCTCCCTCAAAACGATAGGAAAATTATCACTACTCTGCGGGTCACTGTCAACCCTCCAGAAAAAGCGGGAAAAAGGTGAAGGGGAGCAGATTGACATATCAATGGCAGTAAAATAGTGACTAGGTGCATGAAATTATGTATAAGAGCCAGTAATGAAGAGAAAGAGGTCGTGATCCGAGAGCATACACTCTACAAAACGACCCCTCCTATCAACATCAGCACTACTCCAGAAGGAATTGTGTCCATTAAAGTCTCCCAGGAGTAAAAATGGAGATGGCAACTGTTCAACAAGAGCATCAAGGTCTGATTGATCATAAGTCTCTCCAGGAGACAGGTAGAGAGAAAAAACAGTGACGGTTTCAGACCCTCCTGAAAAGAAGTGCGATAGTATCCCGTCCCACTTCAAGCACTAGATATACTTAATATCAAGACAACTTAACAAAAATTCATGTTACGAACACAGATTTTTTTCTTTCATTCATAGAAACATTACATATTACATTTTGATCTCATTATACTCTACACATCAAAGTGAACCAAGGTGGAAGTTCATTTAACTTAAGGTTGAAATAAACATTATGTAAAATGTCACACTGGCTTCACGTGTTAATGTAAAAAATGTGCTTTTAAGCCTGTAAAGAAAACACAAACTCCTAATTAGCTGTTACCTGCTTCTTGTGGTGAAGATGGTTTAGCATACACGGCATTTAATGGAAACCCTGGTTCTCCGGGAATGTCGAACTTGGAGATGGCAAGACTGTACATTTCTTGTAGACCTTGATTCTTATTAGAACACTATTAAGATAACAATCTTATTCAATATATTACCAAAACTGAAAGTTATTGATGACATTACTATTTAATCTTTAACCAAACTCTTAAAGTCGATGATTTATAACAATGAACTATAAGAAATTCTACCTTCTATAAAATTCTAACAATATTAAGGAAAATCAGAACTTTGGGTTCTTACCTTGCAGAAGATGTACCTATTAAAAAAAAACAATAAAACACTTCCAAATTTTATAATTATGGCAGAATAACTATTCAAGTTGTTAGGAGATCAACAAACAACTTAAACGTAATGCAGCTAATTAACAAATTTAATATACATATAGTCAGTAAATGAACATGAAATCAAAAAACTTATTTTAATCCAAGGGTCAGCAAGCCTATCTTCTGGAACTTCTTTAGGCAGTCCATTACATACAGGGTTAACTAGGTCAATACACTGTACAGAAAAACAAAAAGTGATTTTAACGCAAAGGTCAGCAAACCCACCTTCTGCAGCTTCTTCAGGCAATCTGTTACATATAGGGTTAAATAGATCAACACTCTGTCTGCTTCATTCTGAAAAGGTTACAATAGAATCTTTTACCATGATGTAACACTAAATATATAAGTCAAAGCCTTAAAACTTATTACATACAATATAGGGGAAACAAAATACATTACAGAAAAATAAACTTAATTGTAATATTTTTTATGTCCATTCACATGGAAGAATAGTGATTGGAAACACGGTTTTTATTTCTTTAATACAACTAAAACTCAAAACCATTAAAATTATCAAAAACTAAAATTGCATACACTTTAATTCAGAATAGGATTCACATAAGAACATTTGTAAATATAATAACGTATGCAAATAAAAGTGTAGAAATAGATGAGAAAAAAAAGTTAGTTACCAGACAGTTTGTACTAATGACTACTTTTTCATTACTCCATAAAAATAAATTTCCAGAATTCTTCAAATAAAGCCAGTTGCTTACAAGAATAATCTTACACTTAAAGTTTCTTTTATAGAAAAATAAAAACCTTTAATAACTTCAAATTTCTACTGAACCTCCATTTTCTTATATTTTAATTGAATTAAATAATAAACCAGATATTTTATTTTCAAGCACAAATGTGAAATCTAATGGAAATTATATCCGAGATCTTTGCAAGCTGAATGTAGTTTCAATGATAAGGAAAAGTGTAAAAATAAAGAAACTTTTCATAAAACAAACTACACACTAACTTACCTTAATTTCATAAGTTCGAAAAAAACATTGGCCTTAAAGAAGTATAAAACCTCATCAATGATGTCCATATCACCACCTATTGGTGAAAAAATAAAATAAAAAAAGTTACTCTCAACTTCCTTATACAAGTTTTTTTGTGCTTAAGTACAAAAAAATGTCAAAATTTGGTTTACAACATGAATAAATGATGAATAAAAGCTCTAATACACTGTACATGTAAAAACTGTTCCAAGTTAGAAATTAGCTCTTCATTTCAAAATGTATCGAACACACATTTCTAACACATTAGGAACTAATATCTGTGCCCGCTACTAAGTATCTCAACATCTTCTCATGAATGAATATCGTATCAAGTGTGTAACAAGTAGTGATAAAAGATAAAAACCATAAAATAACCAAGCAATCACGTCTGAACCAAATTCATTCATCATACACTAAATACACATATATTGTTTAGTGTTGATTCACAAATCTTGGCCATACCATGGCTATGTATATTCATACATTTTTTTTCATATAAATGTATACATGTATCAGAATCTAGTTTCAAAGAAGGAACTCACTTTGCATCATAATGAAATAAACATAACAGTGTGGCTACTACCAAGACATTAACAACTGTTTTCCTGCGTTCATTTAAATGCAAGGTTCTTTTAAATGTTCATCAAACAATGTTTTTCGATCTCTATTAGTTTCAGTAATGTATATAAATATTTACGATTTTTACAGTTATTTAATACATAGATCCATATTCATAGTCTTCGTTATTGTAAGGTTTATTTAGTAAATGCTTTACTTTTAGTCTTGGTGTGTGAATTTTATTTAAATACCTATGTTGTGTTGTTTTTGTGAATTTATTCCAAATTCTCATAAGCTGTTTTCCTCCATTGGATTATTCCTATTACTTGGCTATTTTATATTTATTTCTCTTTATAATTTTGTACGTTCTTGGAGAGTGTTATTTTTTTGTCATATCTCTTTTAGTGATGTACCAATCACTTTTATAGAAAAAAATATTTAAACTTTTTAATCAAGTTGAAATGCAATTTTTTTTGTCTTCTATTTATTTCGGTAAACAAACGCAGAAACCAATACTGTACAAGTCTTTAATGCCCCTGTTGTTTCATGTTGTGTCCTGGTTGCCAGGTGATATACATTTTGTTGTGTCTGTAAAGACATGTTATACTTAAATTCTGGAAGTTTATAGTTGTTCCTTTCACCTCTTCAGTTGTGAATTTTATATTCGATAGATGGCGCTATGTGTTCAAAGTAGTAGTTTTGTTCATTTTGGTTACAGAAACTACATAATACATCATCAACTTATCTCTACCAAGTGCATGGTGAAGGTAGGAGGCTGTTTGTATTGTTTTTGTTTCTATAATAGTAATGAATAAGTTTGCTAGTGTAGGTAATAAACGGCTTCCCATGCTAAGTTAAATTTTTGGGGTGCAAACTTGTCTAAAAAGAGTTCAAAACAGTTGATTACTGCAAAATCAAAAAAGATTTTTAACGCTGTTGAATTAAGATCTGTTGTATGATTTTGATTTAGTTTTTCTATCACTTTGTTAATGGCATCAGAGGTCATTATCTTTGGAAACATTAAAATTACATTTAAGCTACATGGCTGGTGTTCTGTGCTTGTTTTTTTTTGTTGTTGTTGTATTTTAATGACTTCATAGGAATCTATCTCTCTCTCTCTGCTGTTTCCAATTACTTGATGAAGTCTGACAACAGCCAAGAAATGTTTGCCTCGGTTACAGTTGAATGATGTATAAGTGATTGGTCTGATGCTTACTGTTTTGTGTGTATTTTTAAACTGTCGTACGTTTTTGATGTTCTAGGATCCATGATTTTGAGTGCTATTATAACTTCTTTAGGGTTTTCACTATTTTGTGTATTTCCGAATTAAAATTATTCAGTTTATTTCAGCTTTTTTTGGGGATTATTACAAAATTTTCTTTTATTATAACAAATATATGTGTTCTATTTTGCTGTATCTATGGTTACAGTTTTATTGCCTTTATCTGCTTTGGTTATTAAGACATATTTAAGCTTTTTTTTAATTATTTCAGTGCAAAATTTTCATGTTTTTTTGTTAGGTTGTTTTTAAGTTTTTTGTTTTGAAAGAATATCGCTTGTTTCTTTTTCAGATTCTTCTAAAAATGATTTTCAAGATTAAGTGAGTTTGGGGGGAAATGCTTAAATAGATCTTTAGGTAAAGTGAGGATACTAGAACACCAAATATTTAGGGCAGTTAAAAACCTATAGACCAAAATCTTCACATTTTATCTAAGCTGGAATATGTTAAGTCACTTACTTTCTTTGGGAGCTGGTCCACGACACTGTGTTTTGAGGGGCAATAATGCCATATTTCCAACAAGTTGAGGAGGATTGGTGAACTGAGAATGATAAGCCTGAAATAACGAAATAAATGTTTGCTCTCAACATATATAATTCATTTAATTATTAACTTTTTTTAAAGTCACGACAAAATAAAATATTTTTGTTAAGTAATAAGTAAGATAAATTTAAAATGGATAATTCTCTTTATATTATAGTTAAGGTTACCATCTCCATTATCATTCTAAGACTTATGAGGATTGGTGTTACAATCCCATCGACTGGTGGGATTAGACTTTCACTTTTATAAAAAAAAAAAAGCCCAAAGTGTTAAGCATGTTGTACTGGCAATGAGCTACGAATCACAAACTCTCAAATTCACAGTCTGAGCATGGTGATCACTACATCATGCCTGGCTGTAAATAAAAAAAACTGTTTCAATAAATAAAATTTAAAGAAATAAAAAGAAGCTGTACAAAAAATCAGCAGGTTAGTAAAAGATGCAGGAATGAAGACAAAATTTCACATGCAAGTCTTAACCCTTTCAAGTCAGAGATGAATCTATTTGAGAATGCTAAAACTGCATTTATAAATCATCTTCTACTCGTAGCTGACCAATCAGGTAACTGGGGCACAAGAATCTGGAAATAGAATAGCTTTTTATAAAAAAGTAGGACAGCCACCCCATCCCATGAAACAGTATAGTTTCAATGAACAAACCCCACTGAAAAAAAGTAGCAATGAAATATATATATATTAATTCAACCAGAACATAGAGATTTTTGTTAATTTTATAGATATAGAGTATATACTAAACAACAGTGAGATTTGGTATTTACACATCAAAATTAAGTCACTGCATCTTGCCTTGATCCCACAAATATTCATAAATCATTTTCTTAAACTCCTGAAAATTAGTCTCTGCCACTCTAGATGACAATTTATTCTACAGATTTAACATCCCATTGGAAAAATAAAACTGTTTCTACTGGTTTGACAAACTGATATCCAAAGACCAATCATAAATAGTAAACTGTCTTACAAAGCATGAGACAGTTGGCAACAGACATGTTACATGAAGATCCCTGAAACCACTCCGTGATGGTATCAATGAGGCATGTCAAAATAATGATGCACTACCCTACAATAACCTTTCCTCTTGAACTGTCCTGGGCTGATCCACAAAGTCTGTGTTAGTCAAATAAATAAAATGAACAGTTTAATGAGTTACAAATCTAATACTAGAAAGATTAATAAAAATGTTGGTAAGACTGGTCACTTTTAAAGAACCTTTCCTCAGACAATGCTCATCCAAAGGTAGAATAGATACAAACAGAAATGGAGTAATAGAGGTAAGTATTGCCATAACTATAAGATCAATGAAAGAAAACTGAAAACTACTAAAGTGAGCAGATTAAACCAAACGGCTGATGGAACATGAATTCTGTGTAAATAAGAGGATATTAATGTATAAGAATCCAAAGGATGATAATATGCTGGGACTGATTGGTTGCACTTTCTCTTTACAAGCCACCACTAACAGTGAAATGCAGATGTTAAAGCTATTTCATTAAAATAATAGGTAAATATATTTTAATGAAAAGAATCCTAAAGTATAAATAGTATCAATCAAAGTTAACAGAATGAGAATTTAAATGCTATACAACATCAAACTGTGTATAATAACAATTGATGTGGATAAAAAAAAACAAAAAAAACACACACACAAGCCCCAAAGGATAACAGAAAGGTAGAACAATACAAAAAATTACTATTATTATTATTTTACCTTTCTGTCCAAGAACTTGAATTTTTACTGTCAAATTTACATAAAAAAACTTTTAAATGGTATAGCTTGATTAAAAAAAACCAAATTAGAGATAAATATATTAGATATGACAGTTGTATGAAATTGTACAACAAATCTATTAACACAGAATGATTAGTCCTACCCACAGATAGCATAATACATTGTTTGTTATGAATGTTCAGATGGTACAAAGTAACCATTGTAAAGTTTAACACTTTGGATAAAAGAAAATTTAAGGTAAAACATGTTCAAAAAATGAAACTTTGATATTAAAGCACAGAATGCCTAAGCTTAGACTACAATAATATTAGAGTTATAAAACCCTTAATATATTATTCATTGGTTCCTGTAACGTTTTGATAAACTCATTAATTCATGGTCCTGACAATAAAGGTACAATTAAATTAGATGTACTTTACTTCCGCAAGGTAGTAATACTATAGAATACTGAATACAAGGTAGAATACAGAAAGTGTTCTGTTTCAACAGTAAATAAAACCAAAATTAAGAATAACAAATATTATTATTTCTTACTTTTGAAGTTCATATGTCATGCTGTGTTGTAGCCTACAGAGTGAATAATACTTCTCGTGATACATGGCATGACAGTATAAATTGCAATGTTAAACACCCCTAATGTGACATCATTTTATTGTCTACTGATTTACTGACAGACAACACACTACTGTATAGTGGTGTGAGTGGTTAAAACAGGTGACCACGTTAGATGGCCTTTGGCCCCTTTTGGGTAAATATGCCACATCCAATACAAGCAAAATACTTTACAGTTATTTAACTTTAAGATATTAATAATAACTAAATGTGAAGAAATGTCTCAATTTTTGTTTTTTCACAAAAGGGTTATTTTTACAGTAATAAAATATAATGTACAGATACTTTTTGTACTTTATATAAATCTTAACATCACACATGAAGAACAAGAATCATTTGGTCCTTCAAGACTATCCCTTCTCACCCACTCCTATGTAAAAATTAAACCCACCATTTATTTTTCACAAAATCATCGATTATACTCTTAAACTCCTGAAAAGCATTAGCCTATACAACTACTGAAGGCATGTCATTTCTGAAGCTAACCACCAGAAAATAAAACTGTCTAACTGGAACCAAGCCTGCTTCTTCTACATTTTAAACTTGTGCTATCTCATTATAGAATTCATCACAAAGAAATTATGAGCTTTTATCCTATCAGTCTCTCAGATAATCTTGTAAAATTCAATAAAAACATCTCTTACCCTTCTTTTCTTGAAAGAAAATAAGTTGAGAAATCTTAATCTAAACCCATGAGAGAACCCTTTCATCCATGGAATCATCTTAATAAACCTCCTCTGAACCCTTTCCAATAAGTCAATATTCTTCCTTAGATAAGGAACCAAAAACCATACACAATATTTCAAGAGATATCTAACTATTTGTATATAGAGAGAATAATTACATCTTTTGACTAGTGATCAATATGTCTGTAAATAACATAATCTAACCTATTGACAACAAGTGATGATTTGGTCCCTAAAGGTTGTCCATGTATTACCACCCTTGGAAAAGGTAAAATCTTAATTTTCATGAAATCATCAATTCTCTCTCTTTTTAAACTCTGTTAGACATGCTGGCCTCCACTACTGTTGATGGCAACTCATTTCATAAGTCAATCACCCTGTTAGAAATATAAAATTCTCGTAATTGGAGACCAACCTGTCTTTTTTCAAATCTTAAACTTGTGCCCTCTCATTCTATTAACTTCAAAATATAGTGCAAAGAAATCAAGACCTCAATCCTATTGAGCAACTGGATAACCCTGTAAACTTCGAAAAAATCACCTCATGCCATTCTTTTCTCAAGAGAAAACAAAATTGAGAGATCTCATTGAGTCATTCTTAAACTATCCCTTCCATCCCTTGAATCGTCTTAGTAGCCTTCCAGTTCAATACTGGCAATACATCAACGTCCTTTCTTAGATGAGACCAAAACTTTATAACTATAAGTATTCCAAGTAAAGCCTAACTAGCAATCTCTAATACTACAGAGATAATTTACTGACTTCATTTAAAACATCTCGCATAACTTTCCCATATTAAATTTTCTAACGAAATTAATTTGTTTTACTATTTTACATTAAAATAATCTTTGTTTAAGAAATAAAAAACGTAAATTAATGCCTTTATAATCCACAAACTTCTTCTAAATAACGCAAGCTATAGAGAAACTAAAAAATATAGGTGATGAACCCAAGTAAGCGAAGCCGTAATTAAGCACTATTCCTTTGACATTGTGGTAATTCAATGAAATTAAAAAAATATATAACTGAAACAAAACAAACCCCAATAAAACAAGAAATGTGTTTATATAAATAAGGTAAAAACTCTTTAAATACTCACTGGCATCTTTAAAACTAAAAGGTTGACAAATACTAATCGTAACGAATATTCATTGACTGTATCACTGCTTAACTTCCAAGATATTATTTCCTTCCCTGACCCCTCCCCTCTAGAAACGCCACCTTTTATTAAAAGAAAGAATATAAAATAATTGCATATATATATATATATATATTAATAACCAAGTCAATGTAGCAGAAGTAAAAACACTGACTGCTAAAACAGATTTCACAGTGTCTAATAAATTGTTAACTATTCATGATAAGTACATTTAACAGAAAAACAAAAGGATGGCTTGTTATGAATTTCGCGCAAAGCTACACGAGGGCTATTTGAGCTAGCCGTCCCTAATTTAGTTGTGAAATACTAGAGGGAAGGCAGCTAGTCATCACCACCCACCGCCAATTCTTGGGCTATTCATTTACCAACGAAAAGTGGGATTGACCGCGACATCATAACGCTCCCGCGGCTGAAAGAGCGAGCATGTTTGATGGGATGGGAATTCGAACCCGCGACCCACAGATTGCGAGTCGAGCGCCCTAACCACCTGGCCATGCCAGGCTCAACAAAAGGATGGCTGCAAGTTACAAACTAGGGTGGCTTACTGGAAGTATTAGGATGAAAAGCATTACAAATTTAAAAGGTTTAAATTCATTACTATGATGAAATATTTTAGGGTTATAGAAAATCAAGAGAGTTGGTTTAAAATGACATTAGAATATTGAAAGAGACGTAAGATAAAAGATAAGTTAAAAATTTCAAAACAAACAATAAGTATTTCTTTAACTACACATTAAAGGTAAAAATAAAGTTAAAATGGAAACGAGGCCTCAAAGGTATGCTAAAGGAAGGGTTATTCAAAAGATTATGGGATGATTGAGTTGCTAAAATTCTTCTTCTTTTTAGTTTTTAAAGATAGGAATAGTATTGTTACGTCTCTAGTCGTTCGTTAATTTATCGGTATAAATTCTTCCCGAGAAATTTCAGCAATACAAATCCTTTCTTAAATAAAACTAGTTTATTCTTTCTCAATACAACTTTGCAATACACTTAATTTCCACAGTCACTTTAACTTAACACACGCTATAATTCACAACGATTCACGCACTTTACTTACGGTCACTACCACTCACTTGACTCAATTATCTGTCTCTATATCTCTCTTCAATCTGCTATTCTTCTCTCCTCTTTATTTGCCGGGCTTATACATTAAAATAGAGGGCGCCTGGAAAAGACTAGAGTTGCCAAGAAAAGTCATGATCCTTCTAGAAACTCATGACGTATTACTTGCGTCACGTGACTTTCGCTGTCGTAACAGTATTTTATGACTTGAGAAATTACTAGAAGTGTGTATATGGGCATGTTATGCGTTTTTTACCTTCTTATTCGATAAAAGTTTCAAATTTTCAGTGTATTTCTAGTTATATTCTTAATATAGAAGTCAGTGAATGGGACCACTAAGTTTATCTCGCCTTAGTTATGCACATCACTGGCAAGAGTCACCAAGGGCATCATATATGTTCTCCATTAGTGGAGATTGATGTACCATGAAAATAGCTTTCTATAAAAATATTAATGATGGGGCAAGTACTACATCCCCATCCCCACCCCATAGTATACCATAATCTCACATTTCATAAGTAACTGAAATAAATAAATATTGCGAAATCAAGCTTGACCAACAAAGAGGCAGAAAAGCGCAGTCGAAGCAATCAAACATCAGTAAATTCCTTTGTGAGCCAGTCAAAATTAAAATAATTCATGAAATTAATTCATAGAATAAAAATTAGTTAGATTAACAACTTCTAATATATATAGAAAATCCAGCGCGTTTTGGTAATACTACGTTCCAACAATGGCTTCTATGTCATGTTGCAACAAAAGTATAACCCAATATTGTTGTTAGTCAATTTACTGAAAGTATAAAATGAAATGTGTAGACAACAAAACTGGAAAAATATCTGTTCATTTCTTAACTTAGATTGATT